TGGGGAACGAGAAGTACCGAATTTATTGGAACTACTCGTTCTCTACCCTCAGGCTCAAACAAGCTAATAAACCTGCATCTGTGCGGCTAAATCTTAGCCGCACAGATGCAGAAGGCTGTCATTCTTAGCTCACTGCGCTTGTTCAGGGCACATGATTCTCGAACTCAATGATCACTTACCCCACGGTGTGGGGAGTGGTCATTGGTTGATAATACTGGCGCGTCCTCCCGAACGTATCGGGGCTTCGGGTGATAGGGCCTGACCAGCGCACACTACGGTGAAAATAATAATAATAATAATCGTCTTTAATGTTTCCCAGCTGTAGTTACATACAAATATTTAGATAAATCACAGAGCTAGTTGCTGATATAACAAAAGGCGAAGTTCAACTCAGTTAGCACAAGTGCTACTGCACTTCTATCGTTCTATCGCAAACTTTCATTTATAAGTATTCAAGATACTTTATCTGCATGTAACTCCAACAGTATATGCAGCTCTCAGGGAGCAAGAATTTTTCTGACTTACTCGATACTTATCGTTATATTATGACCAAAATCACACAAAACCTTTGTAAATTGTAGCCTATACGTTATTCTGTTGTATGAGCTCTATGTATGTGAACTTTCATCTAAATCGTTCAGCCGTTAAGGCATGAAAGAACCACAAACATACACATATACATCCATCCTCACAAACTTTCACATTTATAATATTAGTATTAATGTAGTGGATCTGCAGAAGGGGTCCAGTGGAGTGGCCAGCTAGATCACCTGATCTCACACCGATGGACTTCTTTCTGTGGGGACACCTGAAGTCGAAAGTGTAATCTACTAAGCCTTCAAATCTAGAAGACCTGTGACAGGTAGTTGTTTAGAAATGCCGATTTGCTGACTCTGGACATCTTGGATAATATACGGAACGTTCTCTAAAGAAGACTGTATTATTGTTTGGAACTAGGTGGAGGTCATTTTAATAAAACGTTCAACATTTAATTTCTCAATAACGAATCAACCAATTTCGAAAAACATCACAGAAGTAATAGAGGGATAAAATACATTTCAAATGATGTATCATTCGACCTCCCATGCCACTGAAAAAAATAGGAGGGGTAGTTGCTGACCACATGGGGGGGGGGAAACTTTCGGATATGATTTCCATATCAGAATTAGTCCTCCTAGAAATAAAAATTGACGTATTCTTTGAAATTTTTGATTACAAGTCCTTTTCTGACTTACAGGGGGGTCAAATTTTCGCCCTGTATATTCAAAATCAGCTTTCAAGTGAACATTGAAATACAATTCACGGTAATCACAGCAATCAGATCATAACGAATAATATTACACTATACACATTGTCGTTGAACAACCTCTTTGAAGTTTAGGAAAAACTTTCATTTGTGTCAACCTCATTTCGGCCGTCACTATGTTCAGAGAACAGTTTTGATTTTGATTGAACACTTCACATAATTTTTCAGCAGTTAATCCCTATGTTACCTCATGTCATATTTTCAACAAAACTACTTTTCTGGCATTTTTCAAGATTCCTAGGAGTTGAGTTGAACATAAATGATTTCAATTGACACAATCAATTGAAATATTTTGAAGAAAAACCAGCTGTAATTTCAAATCAACATAATGAAACCAATCTTATATTTCCTAATGTGTTATCCTGAATTCATTCTTCAGGTTATATTCAATTGCATCAAGCGTTGAAGAACACTTTTAAGGGAGATGAATTCACGTATATATTCAATTTAGTTGGGCAAATTCAATGCATTTGTAATGACCTCCAGATATGTAAATGTAGGTATCCACTTCAATTAAGCATATGCTATAAAATATGAATTTCCGTATGCAGAGCTATACGTATGGTTAATTTTTTATTTGAGGTCACGGAGAAATATACGGAGATACTTCCATACTATCGATATTTGCAAGATGTACATAAATCACAATATTTAGCATTTGACTTTGTGTTCTTTTATTTTAAATCAAGTGGAATAAGGGGATTTTCTACGGTGTGTTTCGCAATAATTGTTCGGAACATGTTTCCTCATAAAAAAAATCTTTTCTGTTTTCTGTTTTTCCGTTAATCAGCTGTCTCCACCACACGAACGACAACTCTCAGAAGTTGAGAAACTTGTGCGAGCTAAGGACTAACGAGGTCTTACCTTTTAACGTGGGATTCCTAAAACGTCATAAAGAAGCTATTTGATTTTGGTTATGGTCATGTTAGATGTAGCCTGGGAATTCTAGGTCTTCTAACTAGAACCACAAATGTGCGATTGGCTCCTGTTGTTGACTCCGTGCGTTTGTGTTGTTTCCTGATTTCGGCAAACAAGTGTTTCCCATCTTTACACTTGGCTGCACCGCGCTGATGAGGCCAATAGCCAGAAACACGTGTCCGTATATCTAGCAATAGCTGGGTAGCAATAAATACCATCACAGGTCACATAATTTCATGTGCTGATGACACGGCAATTATATTCGTATATAGGGGTGACTTATGGCAACAGCTTGAATCTGAAAGAGGAGCACATTTACTTTTACGGCGAATTTGGTTAAATCACAATCTTCTTAGATCAAATGTAGATAAATCCAACCGAAACTGCATAATCACTTACCAAATAATCTAAAAATCACCAAAAGCCTGCATGTCTATGAAAAATTACTAAAATCTTTCATACTACAAAACAGAAATAACCTCAACATATTTTTCACACATACAAATAGATGAATTTCATTAGTTCGGACTTCCATTGTCTAATATGATTCCACTATGATTTGAAATCCAGCATGAAAAAACAAATAAAATTAGAAAGAATAGCTAAAATGTCGATTATATCAAGCAAAAAAAAACCTGAAATGATTATACAATACAACGAATAAAATAAACAAGATTCAAAATGGAAATGACTAAAGAGTAAAAGGAAAAAAAATAGAATAGAATTAAAAAAAAAATAAATTAAAAAGTAACCAAGTTACTTCACGACGTTTCGATTGTTAGTATCCACAATCGTCTTCGGGTGATGTCCCTTTCACTCTGTAGTCATTTTCATTTTGTTTATTGTATTTTCATTTCAGGTTTTGAAACTCTTGATGTTGGCGAACAAGGAAAAACACTAAAAATAGATTCCCTAAGAGAAATCAAATACTTGGGCGTCTACATAGATAGAAACTTAAGGTGGGACTCTCATATAAAATATATAATAAGAAAACTGCAAACATTGCTTCACAACTTCCGTTTCTTGAAAAATTACTTATCTCACAAAGAACTCTCACAAAAAACTCAAGTGGAGAGCCATTCGAGATATGGTATAACGGCATGGGGATCAGCTCTGCGTGTACACCTCAATCCCTTAGAGATATTACAAAGGAGATTCATGAAGTTGATCATGTCTAGAAATTCACGTTTCTCATCAGATCTCCTGTATAAAGAGTGTGAAGTTACGGATATGAGACAATTAGTATTGTACAAACGTGAAGTATCATTTCAGCAAAAATAAAGCATCATATCACAAAAGCACGACTATAATACACGACATCGCGTCCAACTAACCTATCCTACTGTTAAAAAGTCAATTTCACAAAGAGCATATTCTTTCATGGCAACTAAATTATATAACACTGTACCTCACAAAATAAAAAATTCTTATTCCAAACCAATATTTAAAAAACAAATAAGAAAACACGTTCTCGGAAAAGATAGACAATTTAAAAAAAATGTGTTAGAGTGAAATAAGTTAGTTTTAGTCAAATTTATTCCAAAGTTGTGCCATACTGTATTTTATAGAACGTGTAATATTTGTCCAAAGTTCTATCAATTTTTCTTAGTTTTTGTTTGTATACTATTTATTCGGCCTATTTTACCTCAAGCCGAAATATAATTTGTTTAACTATAACACCAAATTCACAAAATTTAATAAAATGTTTTGTAGTTTCTACTCCATGAACGTCATACTTACTTTTGAACAAATATTTCTTTACTTACATATTCTTTATAACTTCTTGAGAAACAAGAGCTCTGCTCTTATCGCTAAACCACTTTGTTCACATATTTTGTTTTAATTGTACACTAATCTGTATACGTTATGAATAAAGTTTTCATTATTATTATTCATTGCTTGATATAATTGATATTTCAGCTATTTATTTTAATTTTATTTGTTCTTTCATACATTTCAAATCATAGTGGAATCATATTAGACAATGGAGGATACAAACAGATATTTACATTGTCATTTTTTGTTTATTGTATTGACCTATTTCCTAGTTCAACTGTTCAACTTTTTATTAACGTTTCTAATGATTTTTAATGTTGAATTCTGTAACACTCGGACCAAAGTAAGACTACAAAAGCATCGTGATTGCTTAGGTGGCTTGCTTTGCTCTTGGAAGTGTACTACGTATATTTCATTTATTCCTGTATGTCTGTGAGCTTTGAGTAAATTCGTGTTTTTTTAGAGTATAGGTATATCATAATACATGTCGAACGATTTCGCTCCCAATCATGATTCTCACCGTATATTTTCATTAAAAATTAATACAATTTTATTTGGAAATGACTAATCAAAAATTATAATGAAGAATTTTAGTAACAAGTTTAACAATTTACATCCATCTTTTGTGTTATATCTTTCAATTTCACGAATAACAAGAATAACTCGTGTTCCCCCACAAATAAAATTCAAACGATTCACACAGGTACGAATTTTCTTTATTCCTGAATGATGTGTATAAAACTCACAATATGAATAACAGAAGAATTCATCTTTCACTCGTTTTATTGTCCTTCACTGGATTCCTTCAGGTCTAAAAATTCTAAGGCGCCCCGAATATAAAATTATATGGATCGATACCGGTCAAGAGAGGTAAAAAAGTCGACGGGTCTTAGAAAATGTGTCCGTTTTGGAAACTGCGAACCATGTTCCACACAACGGATGACCACTTTACTAACCAAGATGAAGGCATATAAAAGCTTCTCTTGGAGTCAATGGCCAGTCATTCAGTGAATCTCACAGCGCTTTGCCGTCCAGTTCTTCGATTCACCTACCAATCATGTTCGCTCGGATAATGGCCATTTTTTCCATCTCTGTCGTCTTCACCGATATTACTGGTGTGTACCAACTACAACATTAACCCGAAAACTAAAATTAGCTCATATTACTAACGGTGGTGGATTTATTGTAATAACACCCCTTTGAAATATTTTTCATCATTGGAAATAAGGAACATTGACTGATATAAATAGACTTTATCGAAAAACTTCTGTTCTCGCGCCTGTACAATTTTTTTTTTAATTTTAATTTTTTACGTTTTTGTACTCAAAATGTACATTTGCTAGGTTTGTCTGTCCGTCTGTCCGTCCATAAGAGGCAGATGCTACATATTTTCATAGAGTAAGTGGTACTATAGCGTCGTTACGAAAAATAATAAAGACATAATTATCAATTATTATCAATTATCCAAATATGATTGTGACTATAGTTACTGATTGATCAATGCAGACCGGTTTCATCTACAGTGTTACTTTGAAATACTCTTGAAGTAATTCCGATGATATTTAAGAAATCAACTATTTACTGAATTGAAGCATACTAAAAGATATCGCGAAATTTCGTCTCCAACATTTTTAATTATCTCGGTCAATATTCTTTTTTGTTGTATGAGCAAACAATAACATTCCTGTATGTTCATTTTGGTGTTTCTGTAACAATGGTCAGCAAACAAAATATTTCTTCTCCTGATTGAAAAATGAAATTTGAAATTTTGCAAATGTGGCTGCAGATTGACTTATTGCCAGCCTTTGTGGATTTTCAGTTACGTTTACTTCTAGCGAAATCAAGTTTAACCAGTAAAATTTTTAAAAGAGAAATGAAAATTTCTATGTCACAAATAAAAGTGGTAAAAACATAGAAAGTTTCATTTCTCTTTACTTCATAATAATAATAACAATGAACGAACTCAAGAACGGCTGGACCAATTTTTATGATTTTTGTGTTTTGGATTTCTCTTCGTCGGGAATAGGATAATAAGTATCAAAATATGATATCTCATCAATACAAATATATCGTTTTTTGCAACCCTCATTTCAATTATCGTTTTCTTAGGATTTGGATAACAATTGCTTGAACTCTTGTTTTACGTTGCATGCATAAGGCCATTATAACAAAATTAGTGGAAACATTATCACATCCTTTGCCGTTGATTCGAAAATAACTGTATACTTGGCTGAATTCGATACATTTGTGTACGTGAACACTTTGAATTCAGTTCAAGAATGCCCTGTTTCGAAATGAAGATATTGGGTAAGAACTAATTTTAGAATATTATTTGTGTGACAACTTACAAACTGGCTATCTCCTGAAATGTTGGACGATTTTCTATGGAATCTACGTAAAAATAAGAGGCATTGTAATTTTCTTCTGAAGTCAATTCCGATTGAGCCTGGTAATAACTGGATGACATGAAGTGAGATGTAACTGACAAAACACAACAAACAACTAAGTGTGGAATATAAATGAAATTTCCATATCGAAGTTGGCTGGCAATTTCATTGTGGATAGTTCCATATCTATAATACATGAACCAATCACAACTTGAATCGGTCTTCATGAATTACATGTATACAATTGATTCTGATTCTCGATGAAATTCATTGAATTGCTGAAACCTACACAAACTTTACATAAGAATGATTTCCCTCATAAATATCTGCTTGAGCAAAACATTGATAATATTGATTATTGCATAGATCGTTCTCTACTTAAAAAGATTTGCCCTGAAACGGCAGAAATTTCGACCATGAAAATACATGAGAACCGGGAAATAATTTTTTTTTTCTTTGAAGGATGCAACTAATTTTCCTTTATTTTCAGTATTTTTATATTAATATAAGTCACAAAAAGGATTTGAAGCTTTATAACTTCTATTTAATTATATGCGAGCGCATATAATATATATGGATGTTTGGTGGGACTACTAAGGTCACAATTCTGATTTCAATCAAAAGATCTTCCAACTCGTATGTTATTCTTTTGGTAAACTAGCCTTATCAGGGAGTCGACGTAAGGATATAAATCTCTTCGTATAACACTCATCCCTCCATAATGACTGTTTTTCTCATAGTTGGCCCTCACATTAATCAAAATATCCCGACGCGAAAACAACAAGAAGCGAAAACACTGAAAGTTAAACCTTGTCAGGTCTAAGCAATCCTTCATAAAGAATGAATAACCTTTCGTGTGCTGTTTTCCCTACTACCATCTCATGATGTACGAACGTAAAATCACCGTTATGAAAGGGGTTTTGAACGATGTTTTCAAAAATTCAATTTTATTTATGGTTCAGGGCACAGGAAATTTTTAGTAGTAATGCTCAGACGTGAGGTCTCAAAACACCAAAGACAAAATAACGATTCACTGTAACGATTTTTTTTCAATAAGTTGCGACTTGTCTACAGATTTTTCAATAGCTGCACATTTCTTTGTGGGTATATCAGGCGTGCATGGGCACTTCTGGAATACATACTAGTAGTCGAATTAATGTAAAATTTTCGATATATTTATATTATTCGAATTCAGAAACATTTTGAAGTAGGGTCAAAATAATTTATATCAACTTAGCTATATGTACGATATTCACATAGAACATTCCTTGCATGTCAATTTATATAACAACAGTAATAACGTAATTACTATGGCACCAAAGTTAAAGTTGTCGTTGATGAATAGAAAGATGAGATAAATCGAAGATATATAAATTACATTTCAAATCCAAACTTAGGTTGAGAAAAATTTAATAAGAGTCCTTGGTGGAAAGATGAGCTCTCTACTCTCGAATCTCAAAATCATGCCGACTTGCCGTCCTAAGGCAGAAATGCAAAAGACTGTCATTCTCGCCGTACTGCGTTTGCTGAGGCACATGATGCTCGGACCCAATGATCACTTTCTCCACGGTGTGAACAGTGGTCGTTGGTTGAAAATGCTGACGCGCTCCCCTGCATTTATCGGGGCTTCGAAAGATAGGGCCTGACCAGTGCAAACTCAAGTTGAAAAATAATAAAAAATGATAGTTTTTGGTTGAAAGATGGCCCCTCTACCGTCGAATCTCAAGATCAGGCCAGTTTGCCGCACTTAGATAGACATCTTAGCCAGACAAATGCAGAAGGTTGTCACTCTTGGCTAACTGTTCTTGCTCAGGGTACACGATTTTGGACTCAAAGATCACTTCCCTCGAAGTGTGAAGAGTAATCGTTCGTTAATAATGCTGGCGTGCCTTCCTGTATTTATCAGGGCTTCGGTGGATAGGGCCTGACCAGCGCAAACTTGGGTTTAAAAAAAATATGTTCAATGAGTTAGTGATATTACAAAATGAATTGAAAAAATCTACATCATACAAAGATGAAAAGATACGTTGGCAAATTGGAAAGGACTACATTTACTGTTATATGTCTCCTACCATGGAAGTGATTTTCAATATAGCCCTGCAAAAAAGAAGGAAGAAGTGAAAAAAGTTAACTTCAATCGTACTATCTAAAAGCAAAACTTGGAGTTTTTGTTTGGAATATCTGCAAGTGAATTATTTACTTCAGAGAGTAATGAATCGAAAACTTTGTAAACAGCATACGAGTAAGATTTTTAAAATAGAGATGTGATGTGTCTGGGTATAGCTGAAAAATCTTTTTTTCTGATATTTATGTTATGGACGTCAGCCCTGAAACACATTTTTTCATAACGATATGCTGGGGTTGTAATCTTATCATTTTGAGAAATAGAACACTACTATTGACAAATCGTCAAGTTTACTGGGAGCCAGCCCAGTTCTGTTCTTTTTGCAGACACGTGCTGATTGCTCTTTATACTATTAATTAATCTAACACAATTATTTTGAATTCGCTGCAAGCGTTTGTTTTCATAATTTGATATACAAGGCTCGTACACAACGTCACAATAATTGATACGTGAAAACACGAGAGTTTCATTGACAAGGGCTTCAGTTCGTTCATCCAATAATTCCATGTTACTAGCTGCATATTAGTTTCATATTCGACATATATTTTTTGATGATATGATTCACATATTTTTCAAATTTCAATTCAGAGTCTAGGTGAAATCCAAGGTTTTTCGTAACATTTTTCAGGTTTAGTACCACATCATTCATTTTTATATATATTTTTTGTTTCTACAAGTAATGAGATGTCGTTAATGATTATAGTAGTACTCAAATTGAGTACCACTGTAATCAGTTTTTCAGATTATTTTCGAAACAGGACGTATACTTCGAGAAAAGTAATGGCCCGAATATAGATCCTTGGGGTACTTTGACGATTCTCAATTGGTTCGATAATTTGTTTTTTATATTTTGCGATTTGATATCTGCCAGATTAATAACTCCATAGTGAACTCACTGATTTTTGGGTGAACCCGTCATTGCAGTGCAGTACTACCAGTAGAATTTTTTTAGTAAATCGGCAAAATGGAAATAGGTTCATTAGTTTTCTCTGTAAGAAATTGACTGAAAATAATATTGTTTGGAGTCGAACAGAAAGTAATATGGATTTTTCAACCTGTCAAAAATAATACTTCACAATGAATTTATTTGGCAAAGACTATGTTGATGAAATATCCTTATCTGTCTAAAATCTGTTTTTCCGTTAACCAGCCGCTGCACCTCTACGAACAAAAACCCTCAGAAGTCGAAACTTGTGCGAGCTAAGGACTAACGAGGTCTTACCTTTCAACATGTGACTCCTCATCGTTTCTCCTTCATTGATGCATGTCTGGATGTGGTACTACTTTCGCATTTTATCATATGAATTCAATATCTAAACTTTACTAATCTTAGGAATTTCCTTTCTGAACCTGTTCGTAATCAAGATTAGATTTTACCAGACAGCAATGCAGAATTTTAAAGCATTTGATATCAGTTAAATCTGAGGTGCATATTCTTAGGAAGCCTGACATTTTGAGAGGATACTTATTAAGAGTGGCTGATATGTGGGGCTGAAATGAAAGTGAGCTGTCTAGGAGTAAACCCAAGACTTTCATTTCTGTAACATTACTGAGTGGAACTTGATTTATAGTATGAGAGAATGTTAAGGAGATACGTTTACGG